GTGTCATGTCTGCCATGATACTACCCCACTCAAATGCTGATGTAGAAAGAGTTTTCACTGCTAGGAATTATATCAAATCTAACCTAAAAAACAGGATGAAATTTGACCTCTTAAATGCTATCGTGCCATTAAAATTCGGCCTGATGAGACTAGAGAAATAAGCCTACTGTTCCACTTATAAAGAAATTTGAACAACTAAAGCATACCAGAATCATTTTGGATCTGAAGCTTCAACTTCATTATCCAAGCTAAGTTTATCATGTGAACCTTGTGAGGCAGACATCAGTGAAGGTGAGGACATGATTATGTAGGGTAAGTCATAACAAAAGCTATGTAATTTTTGACTTTTTCAATTTGGATATTTTTTCTAAATCTTTTCCAAGCAGATTTAGATCTTTTTAGATATTTTTTGACACCGTTTTGGATATTTTTTGTCAAAGAAAAGTAGCAACACTGTATCTGTGGTTGTACTGCACTTTTTGACATTGGGGGACACAAGTTCGCATTTATTTTCTGCAGGCTGCACAATAAAGGTTGGCTACGGTCTTCCAACTGCCGCCTGTAGGAATCAGTCCTGGATTTAGTGTCTAACAAAGCTACGAGCTTTAAACAAATCAACATTTTCCGCCACAAATGCAATTTTCTTTTAATACATTTTATAAAAATGTTCCCATTAATTTTGCACTTGTATTTTAATTTCAGTTATACTATTTTATGTTTCATTTATTCTAACTTTTAGCCCATTCAAATTAAATTATTTTGAAATGTGTAAACTTCCACCTTTTATTAACTTATACATTTAAAAGTTTTTATGAGATTAACTAGTGTAATTTAGGTGCTTTATTAATATCCTACCCTCAGATGACGTCACAGGACAGTCCAACATTTTAGAGGGTGGTAAGACTGGGTTTCTCGGCTTTCTGGTGCCTTTAACAACCACAAAACATTTAGAACTGGCTCTAACCAACCCACCAACGTCCCACAAGACAGTGCAGCCTAGGTCCCACGACTGCATGCAGCCTATCTACCACCCCCTGAAGTATTAGAATGTCCCGTGATCTGCGGATTTCCTCTGTTTGGGGTAAGATATTAATAAAGCACCGTAATTTAAAACAGCAGTGGCTGGTGTTCCACATTCGAGTGGTGGTTCTTTGTGTCACCGTGTGTTTATCGTTCGATATGATGTCCTAGTGGGGTGGAACGTCAGCCAGACAGAAGTGACTACATATAACCAATATAAGGCACTTTTTATTTTGAAGCCCCACCCGGTTGTTGTCGGGGGCCCTAAATATAACCTGCGGATTGAACTTACGCCGAGCGATTCTCGTCCGAACTGTGGTACTTCATGGTATGATTTGCAGTTAGGCTGCGGTATTTGAACCTTGCCGCCTAACACATCCGAATTCAGTAAATTACCAATTAGTCACTTTTACGACATGCTTGTTGGGGGTAGTTGGTCTGTTGTTTTTACCTCCTCCCCCTTCCCCACCTGAACGCACACTAGATGGAATATTACGTTACACATGAAGTGTTAATTTATAATAAGACAGTAAAAAGGTATAACAGATCACTTTAAATACTCACATTTTAAGACAGATTATCCAACAAGATACACAATTTATTGAAACATTACCATTAAAGTAAACTAGATAAAACAATATATACTCCTAATTACTAGTACTACTTTAAGAGTTCTTTCTCTTATGTAATAATACTCATTTATGAACAAGATATTTTAAATAATAACAATATAGGCCTTGAGGCCTTCAAAGATGCAAACAGCGGGGAATGGAGAGTGAGAAGCAACAACGAAATTCATAATCTGTTTAAATCACCACTGATCACTGGCATTATGAGAGCTAATAGACTGAAATGGTTTGGGCATATTAAGAGAATGTCAAATGACAAAGAAGTTAAACCTGTATGCAAAAGGGAGATTAAAGGTCGTAGACCATGAGATAGACCAAAAAGACGATGGAGAGATAATGTCCAGACAGACCTGCAAACACTTGGTGTCACCAACTGGAAAGAAAAGGCCAACCAGAGAGATGAATGGAGGCGGGTGATACCAATGAACCTCAAGGACTCGGAATGTTGAAGAAGAAGAATATAGGCCTTAATAACATATTTGACTCATAATTTTAAATTTAAAAAAAAACCATATTTGATTGAACGGAAAAATTACTGAATCATCATCATCAAGTGCCTTGCCAGCTGGCGTAGGCGTTCACGTATCGCCTTCGATCTCGGTCTTTGGTGTTCTGAATCAATTCAACTGATAATATTCTATCATGCCACTGTCTTAAGCCATCCACCATAATTTCTCTTGGTCTGTCTCTGCCTCTTCTACCAGTGATCTTTCCAGTCGTCACGATATTTTCCAGTGCTCCTTTTCTCATCACATGACCAAAGAACTTTTTTCCTTATTGTTGTATTTAATGTTCTACCTTCATTAGCCATTTCTAGGCATTCAATGTTGGTTTTTCTAGCAGTCCAATGAATTCTCAACATTCTTCTCTAGAGCCACATATCAGTTGCCTCCAAACTCTGAATTACGGAATACGATATATGAAATAGCAAGTTGTACCTCTGAGTGTCTCCTACAGAGCTGTCCTCTTTTAAGACATGCATGACATATAACATGGTGAAATATGATATTTTACTGTATACACTTATGGATATGGAGGTCAGTCCCTGGATTCTAGCTGTATTGTATGAACGGCAGACTGTCTTTGGTTTTGGCTGGTGGAGCTTTAAACCATGTAGTGTCGCATCTAGTCTTCCACTTAGTGGTCAAAATGGCGGGCTATCCTCCGACTGACGGTCAGTAAAGATGGCGGTCGCAAAATATCCCCTCGAGCCGCAGTCACGTGTCAATTGCGCACTTCCGGCTACTTAATTTGCGGTTTTCCGGCGGTTCTCCGCCAACAACCGCCACCGCTTTGCTCGTGAGTCCTAGCCATCTAGTTTAGCCCCAATCCACGCCGCGTGAGCGGCGTGGGGGCCACGAGGCGGTGGCGATAGTCGCCGGAAAACCGCAAATTAAGTAGCCGGAAGTGCGCAATTGACACGTGACTGCGGCTCGAGGGGATATTTTGCGGCCGCCATCTTTACCGACCGTTAGTCGGAGGATAGCCAAATGGCGGTCAAAATGGACACTAGGCGGGCCACTGTTTTTGGAGCCGAGGCAAATTTTCTGCTTCTGTCGGACGGTGGCCGATGCATTTTTGTTCCATTTGTAGACTGGATATAGTTTCGTCGCCCAGCTTCTGAGTTGAATGCATGGCGTGACACTGTGAGCTGCGGATTTCATTTGGAATGTTTTTTCGACTGTGACCAACGTGGTGGTGTGAGTTGTAGATTCAGAAAATGGCGCGATGCCTGTCGGCGCAATTTTGGTGGTGCCCGTATGTGATTAAAATTGATCGCTTGGGCAACTGCAGATCTGTTGGTGACTTCTGCTACCATCAATGATGAACTGCTTTTCTAATGTCGGACTGTTTGTGTTAGCACTTCGGATAGCTACCATACGCTTTAATGCGAGTGTATGCTAGATGCTGAGACAACAGTCTGTCAATCTTTCCACAAGGGACTGTGATAAACATTCTGTATGTTTTTCGTTGGCGCAGGAACCTAGCAAAGATGGGGTGACCTGTTTGCTATGAAGCTGAAACTAGGACTACCAGAATACCAGACTTGGCGGTGAACTGATATATGACAAGCTGGATGTTGTGAGGACCCATTGGGAGCGAGTAAACAGTGCCGACAAACAGATCATTATGGTTTGAGGAGACTGGCACTTCAAGGAATTACAAGGGAATCTGTCCGACGCTCGATACTCATGGGAAAGGCGAGACGGATATACAATCAGACAGTTACTGGTACCATCGGAATTTTAACCTTTCGCTTGCTGCTGAAGATGGGGACGGAGCGCTTATGGAAGTGTCCTGAGTGCTGTGATGTCGATTCATAATTCAACATTCAGGGAGAATCTTGACTTTTGCTGACGATGTCTTAGTCTAAACACAAGGGGATAAACATAATAGAAATATCCAGAGCACCGCAGTTGGCGGTAGAAAAGGTCGGTGAGCTGTGTCAGGAAACAGGCTCTGTCGGCGACCCGGATAAGATGCATCGATTGGGGTAAAGCAGCGCTGGATTTAAGCATACGCTAACAAAGCTGTCCCTTAGGGCCTAGCAGCATGCAGAGGCCTCAGTAACCCCCCCCCCCCAACTAGTTACAATTGTATTTGAATATATTTCAATTGTAATATTGTTTTAGTTAATAAGAGGATTATTAAATTTCTATGATTTTGCCAACACATTCTTCATAATTTCTTTTACTAACATGTATAGTAAAAATTAAACGACAATATATATATTTCCGTTGTCCGTATATTTAACATGTGGACCACGTCAAGCGAGCTGGTTTATTTTCACTATTGTTAAAGCTGAAAATTCGGATTATTACACGTACAGATGAACTCAATTTCAAAATTGCTTGAGGCTCCCCTCGAAACTTCCTCAGCCCCGCCCCCCGGGCCAGCCTGGAGTCACTGGTCCACAGCCTTTTCAAACATATTGGAGATGGTCATGACTCGTCTAGCCAGCTGAATGTTGAATTAACAATCGACATCACAGCACCCAGTCTCCAACTTCAGCAGCAAGCGAAGAGATTAAATTCCGATGGCATCGGTAACTGTCTGATTGTATATCCGTCTCGACCTTCCCCTGTGTGTTACACTCCTACCCAGCGGTTCTAAATCTGTGGATCGCGACCCCTCGGGGGGGGGGGGGGGGAGTCGAACGACCCTTCCACAGGGATCGCAAAAGGCTGTCAGAAAACACATATACACTGAAGTTATGAAGTAGGAACGAAAATAATTTATGGTTGGGGGTAACTACAACACGAGGAACTGTATTAAAGGGTACTACTTCTGTTAACGGAAGTGACGTAGTTGTAACTCTCTGATGTAGAAAATCAAAAATAGAATTGCAGCATGGAGGAGCACGATGTCGAACGCCAGTCGCCCAAGAAAAAAGATAAACAAACAGAAGACAGACCTGGAATAATTTATTTAAGCTCCGTTCCGGAATACATGAGCGTACAGAAACTTAGAAACGTGTTTGAGGAATTTGGCGAAGTGAACAGAACATTTTTTCAACCAGTTGGTAAGACTTTTTTCTTCTTCTGATCTGTTATTGTTATTTTTGTTGTAAATTAAAAATGATAATTAAAATTAAAAGGAAAAGGCTCTCCTTTCAACCATGGCCGGTAGACGGCCGGCTAGTCGGAGTTCTGTCCCCTTGCTGCAGTGCAATTACGGATTGGAAAGGAGGGAACGAAACAATTGACATAAATATACTGTGTGTTGGCGATAGACAGCGTGCACTGCCCTGCTATAATGTATAATGAGATACTTTAGTCAAATTTTTAAAATGCCCTCTACACCAATAAAACCAGCACAGTTAGATAGCTGTAAACAATCTTTTTCCAACAGTATCTCATTTCTGAGCTGAGATATGTAGGTTTTGGAGATGAGATGTAAAAAAACAGCTGCTAAAACTTGCGTCCCAGAAACAAGAAGTTTTCTCTGCGCAACCAAACTGCGCACTTTCGTTTTGGCTTTGTTTACATTTGACAAGATGGCAGACAATTTTTCTCAGACACAGCCACATAATAGCGATTGCCTGAAAAATGTCACTGTAAATCGAATTAGCCATACATAGAAAATAAATTTTATTTACAAATGTAAAATTAGACGGAGAATTCAATTATAACTAGCATTACCATGTCAAGTAATGTTAAAGGCCTAAAGCCAAAGTTGAATACTTACCGCTATTTTATTTTCAATCAAACTGATGTAACAGAAAAAACAGAGGACGTCCGGCTGTCGTAAACATGCTCTGTTAATCGAGTTCGTTCCCGCCGTTTTCAGCTATTTATAGCTGGTGAAAATCACACCAACCTCAAAATTTCATGAGATTAGGACCCATCCCGAAACCACAGCCGACATTTCCCAAACAAGTTTTGAACGGTTTCCGTGGTAACGGAAATTGCCAAAAAGATCGCAAATTTCCGAACACCGTAGTCGCTACTATAATTATACGGTTTGGGGTAGGGTGTGGGTTAGGGTTACGGTTAGTGTCGCCGCATCTCGTTTTTGCACAAACTCATAGTAGCAACCCTAAACCTAACCCAAACCCCAACCGTATGATGACAGTAGGGCACTGCACACTGTCTATCGCTAACACACAGTAATTATGTCACTTGTTTCGTTCCCTCTATTCCACTCCGTGATGTGTCGCAAGAAGCGGTAATTGAACGCGGTCCCTAATTTGAGTCGCAGCGCGGGGTCTGCCAGGCATGTCGACCTGACTGTATTTTCTGATTCGTGCCTTCTTCAGTCCATAATTACACTGCAGCCAGGGGACAGAACTCCGACTAACCTGCCATCTACTGTTGTCTACCGGCCGTAGTTTAAAGGAGAGCCAATTAAAATACTAAAATTATCCACAAATTAAAAAAAAATTAGCCCCTCCCCCCACTCCTTGCCTCATTTACTTTAGTTTTGTAAAAGCTCTAATTTTTATTTTATTTTTAACTTTCTGTCATTCACATGTGTCACCAGGGTGACAGTAATAATCTCCCACTAGTACATATTAATATTATTTTTTAGTACGGTTTTGATGTAGATGATGTAGTCTTCTAAATCTAACCCGAAGCGAAGCACTAAAAACGACTTCACGTTTTGTTATAATTGTTTTAATCAAATTAATCACTCGCTTTCATATTTTTATTTTACCATCCAGTTTTTATATTTTTAGAAACTGAAACAGCAGTTATACTAAAACTGATATAGGCTATCCTGAATAACAGCCACATATTATGGCGGTCAAAAACACACCCTGACATGGCCTCATTAGGTCTTGTTTTGTAATTGTAAACATTCAAAAACTTGAACTCGAAAATAACGAGGAACGAAAAAAAAGTGGAAAATGACGAAATTGATTACTAAGCGTTAATTAAGGCCTTTATATCTGAAAAAAGTGTCACAGAAGTTGCAAATAGTGCCCGAAAATCTGCTCTTTGTGGCGCTATTGCAACTCGGCTTAATATGATCGATGCCACACATTGGTAACGCAGTTTACACAGTCGAGAGTATCTCCTGCGCCGCTATGTGCGGCCTGGATAAGGGGGCTAAACTAAATGGCTGGGACTCACGAGTAAATAAATTGGAGGAAGTTACAGGAGATGCAGTAGCTTCTGCTCATGAGTCCCAGCCATCTAGTTTAGCCTCCCATCCGCGCTGCGCGTACCGGAACCGGGGTTATGCTGGGCTGTCAGTGTAAACTGAAGAACAATATGGTGAACCTGCATCGGAGCGCGTAGTCCCCCCCCCCCCTAATGTCTCTATAATCATGTGTATTGTTGCGTTTCCCGAAATTTACATGTGATTGAGACCCTGTTAGAGTGTGTTTTTGGCCGCCATAATATGTGGCCATTATTCGGATAGCCCTGATTTAATATCTGTGAAGATGAAGAGAGTGAGAGAAGATTTAGATTCACGACAGCCATTTTTTTGATGGTGTAGAATGGTAGAGAGTTTACCAGAAGTCCCATTTTATTTATTACTATTATTTCTTGGCAATTTTAAAACATGAACAAATAAGTTGTTACATGTCTGAAACATAAAGAAAAAAATTATTTAAACTGAATTCCTTCACAGTTGTCTGACTTGGTAACAATTCCCAGAACTGTTGTTATTAGGCAAATATGCAGCCTAACCGACATCATACCTGGTGCAGAATGGATACCTGTGCCTCAGGCGTTTATTTGTACATTTTCCTGTATTGTCACACTCAACAGGCGATGTAGAGAAGAGAATCCTGTTGCTGTTAATGCAGAGGTCAACGCTCTCATCGGTGAAAATTCAGACGAAGCAGATGCACTAATCTACACAGACGGATCCGTCATACGCCAAAGAAGAAGCGCATGGGCATTTACAGCACGCTCAGCGGGCAGAACAGTCAAAGAAGCCAACGGTGCCTTCTCCATGACAACCAGCAGCATGACGATGGAGGTGATGGCAGTGACGCAAGCATTTGCCTGGCTTGAAACACAAAAATACACCCGCATATATATACTCAGTGATTCAATGAGTATGATCCGGAGGGTTCAGTGCGAAGACAATGGCTTGAATCATTACAGAAGTCCACTGTGCGTGGAGTCACCTTTATTTTTTTTCCGGGACACGCATGGAAATGAAAGAGCTGACAGGTTGGCTGGATCCGCTATCACTACCGACCACATCACTCGCCAGAATGGCAGACTTGGGAATTAAGATCGGCACAGCAAAAAACGAGACGCACACCGGGCACGTCAAAAGACTTGTTAATCAACATAGAACTGGTACTATTAGCCATTGGACGTTGGGGTTCATACTGAGGGGAGGATCTGAGCACCTATGGACATGTCCGGAGTGCAATGACGATAACCCAACTAACTAACTAACTAACTAACTAAGAACTGTTTAATTCAATATCAAAATGAAGGCCTAGCAGTTTTTCCCCATTATTTATTATTATCTTAGTCAGTTTCTGTGAATTGTTCTTCTTCTGCATTCACCTTTAAAAGGGTGGTTGGCACACTGTGTAGTGGTTCACTGCTAGGCCGCAGTATCTATGTCTTTCAGCCTAACACATCTCATTTCACAAACCCTAATTTGTTGTGTCTTACAGCCTGCAAAATTACAAAGATAGGCACACAAAAAAACAAATGGAGAAGGAAGCTAGCGAGTAGAGTTAACAAGTTGGGGAGAGCTGTGTGCGTTATCAACAGATAGAACGACCTGGCTTAAGTTGGTTGAGGGCCTATACCCATTGGGGGCTAGAAAGGCAGAAGAAGACGACAAAGCTACTGATAATTTTATAGACTAGTCAGTCCTCAGTTGGGTGATGTGGGAGTCACCTTTACTTACGAGGACATTTTCATGTACCCATTTTACACTGTTGACCTGGAAGTCGAGCTTAGTAGTGATAATAAATTTACCTCAGTGTGGATTCAAACCCAAGACCTAACTTCAGGTCATGAAACTGCCACTACACTACCATGGCTTTATGTCAGATTACAACATGATTACCAGTGTCTGCTGTAGTTCACCAATCAGGACAATCTATTAGTCAGTACATTCATGTCCTTTTATTTTTTTTTGCACGTATCTTCTGTTCTGTCCCTATGTATGTAGCAATATAAGCTTGTCCCTCTTAGAAGTAAATTGTCAGTTGAGTTTAATGCATTTCATTTAAATTAACTCATTTTTATTATTAGACCATTTTCATCCAAAAATCACAATTATGGTGCATGTATCGGCTCTGCAGTTGTGGAATCCTCTTGGAAATGCTCTGCACACGGATACCCTGGATGGGCTTCCCTAAGGAGAAAATCTGTGGATCTGGGGATGGTAGTCACCACACAGATGATGCTACACATGTCCCATAAAACTAATTGAGAAGACTGACCTGGAAGATGTCAGATGTGTCATTTGAAAGGCACAAATATCGCAGCTGACAACACATTTATGATACTTGAACGAAGAATGATAATAATGGGTCTATAATCCAGAAGGACTTAATTAGGAAATCATTTAAAAATGAGTTAAAATATCCATTGTGGTAGACATATACGGTCTCTGGACTAAATATTGAACATATTGTGAGTTGTGTAGTATAAAAAGAGTTAATTTGTAGCACAAATATGTCATTACAAGCGGAAATATGCTCATCATTTTTCAACATTTTTATTTCTGCAGAAAAAAGCTATTCCTACAAGAAAGGATTATTATTCACTGAAGGATGGGTTGAATTTCGGAAACGGAGTATGGCGAAATTTGTGGCGCTGACATTAAATAATGTCCAGGTGGGAGGCAAGAAAAGAAACCCATGGTACAGCTCAATCTGGAATATCAAATACCTGCCAAAGTTTACGTGGACAGACATCAATGCAGACAGAGAGTTGAAGAGGGCTACGCATGAAAACAGAATGCGTGCCGACATTTCCCAGGTGAAAAAACAGACACATTTTTACATGAACAGTTTGGATAAATCTAAAACTTTAAACGAGATGAAGAAGCGAAAAGAGAAGAGAGGGCAGGTTTTTGAAAAAAGAAGCTTTGGGGATGGCATTAAGCAGAAACTCACAGAGGAAGAAATTCTGGAACAGAAGAGTAAAAGAAAACATGATGGTGTAGGGGATTCAGAAGACAAGCCCAAACGCCCAAAGAAGACATTTGGTGATAATGACGTTCAGGCGTGTCGTGCATTTGTGATGAGTAATATTTTTGGAAATTGTAGTTGATAGTTTTGATAGTTGTGAGTGATATTTTTCAGAAGTTATGTCGGATGTCAGTGAGTGATGATTATTTTGATAGTAATGAGTGATATTTTTGGAAGTTGATTGTGCCTCAAGGCGTGATGAGTTGTATTTTCGGAAGTTGCAGTTGGTGAATTTGATAGTAATAAGTGACATTTTGAGAAGTTGCATTGGATATCACTGAATAAGAAACATCATTTTGGGAAGTTGCTATTAAAGAATTTGATAGTGATGAGCCATAGTTGTGAAAACTGTTTGATGAAACTAATATTGATGATTGAGTGGATTTCTGTGAAATGTGAGAAAACACTGGAGGATAATGACAAGCAGGCATGTTGTGTGTGTGTGACGACTATGTTTAGCCGTTGCTATTGGTGTATTTGATATTGTTAACTAGATGGATTTCTGTTAACTTTTAAAATTCATTGTCTGATAATAATGATGAGTTACGTTCTGAGTATGTTATGAGGAATAGTTTGGGAAATTGCTGATGATATATTTGACATTGATGTTCGAGTGGTTTTTCTGGGAAACATTAAATATTTTGTAAATACTGTCCCAGCATTATTGTTGTTATGCAGTAATACTGTATTTGTTACTTATAGAAACACGCCCATGCCCATCCTCAAGCTTCCCAAGCCCATACTCTGCACCCCCAAATGAAGGGTGATTGAGTTAAGAAACTTCACAGCACTTATGGCATTCCAATAAATACTACTTCTATCTTCAGCAACCATCTCAGTACCTTGATTCATATGTCTGTCTTGTCTTTCCTTTGCCCACTGAGCATCAGCCCATGCTGAGGTTGTTCCCCATTGTATCTTTATCCTTAGACTGTGGTGATCTATATCAGAACTTTCCAGGCTCTCCACATCAGTGACACACTTTTTAGACAACCACAATCTTGTGGTACAGTAATTCAGTCAGAGAGCCACCAAAGATATGGAACGAAAGTGAAAATTACAAAACAGGCACTGAACTGGGAAACAAATGGTCTGAGAGAGAAAAAGAGTACATCCAGTGGGAACATTAAGAAGCACATTATTAAGAAAGGCTAAAAATGCTAAACGCCATGTCATAAAATGGGAGAGTTGCATGCAATAGAGCAGAGTGAAGAAATTAAATGCAAGCCCTATGTGACGTCTGACGGCACACCAAGGATAATGATGATGAACTCAGTCTACTAGGAAACCAGAGGTTAAATTAACCACTCCACATGTTGGTTCCGGGGCCCTTTTATGGGGGGGGGGAGGAATAGACCCACTGCCTACCCAAAAGCATGTCGTAAGAGTCAACTAATTAGGAGCTTCCTTCGAAGTCGGAGTGCATTTGCCAGAGAGACAAGGAACCAGCAGTCTCCATACAAATGAGTCAGATCTGTAAAACGGATGCACACATAACACTCAGGTTCTGGAACAGGACTGCAGTCCGAAAGTGGATGAACAACCAGAACTTTCCGCCAGAGCTTACAGCTGGTGAACAGGAAAAAGAAGAAGAATCAGAGAAACAAGATTATTATGGCCTGGAGAGAATGAGGCACCTGGGTGTAACCAGAGGGTCTGGCCGGCTCACTACACTCAGAGGAATGGCAAGACGGACATATAACCAGATTGTGACTGGTACCATCAGTATTGGAACTCTGCGCGGGCTGATGAAGATAAGGGCGGAGCATTCATAAGAATACCTCCGAGTGCTGTGATGTCAATTCTCAACTCAACTCATGAACACGGTCAGCCATGAGTAGACAACTAGACATCTGCGCCCGGGTCTCCCATTGGCTGGTCAGGACAGTATTTGGGTCTATTTCCTGTGATCACATTAACACTGCAAAAGTTTCTTCCAGGGCTCTTGATGTTGAGCACTGCTAAACCATTTTATTACCTAGTCACAATTATAACCTAAAGCTTCTCCTTTGGGGATGCTGGTTGAACGTGACGGTTTGTGTGTGTGCAAAGCAACGAAAATTACATCTTTCCCAGTAAAGACAGGTGTGAGACAGGGATGTGTCATGTCATCTCTTCTCTTCAACCTTGTGATTGATTGGATACTAAAAAACACAGTAGACAGGACATTAAGAGGCATACGATGGACTCCATTCACCATGCTTGAGGACCTTGATTTTGCAGATGATATAGCACTCCTATCACATAAACATGAACATATACAAGAGAAAAGTAAAAGACTACAACACATCACAGCAGAAATGGTGGGACTGAGAATATATACAAAGAAAACTAAGATCATGACAAACAGTCCAAACCAGTGACCATAAGTAACCAATCACTTGAAAGTGTAGAACATTTCACATATCTTGCCAGTGTGGTGTCCCTTCTGGTAGGGACAGAGAAAGACATACATACAGTCACGCCTAAACAAAGCTAGAGCTGCTTTTGGAAGGATGGGGCAAATCTGGAAATACAACAGTTTTTACAGAGGAACAAAACTCTACAAGAGCATTATTTTGCCAGTTCTTCTTTGTGGAGCAAAATGCTGGAGAATGACCAAAAAGGATGCACACAAGCTGTCCACCTTCCACCACACGTCTACATAGAATTATCAAAATTTTCTGGCCAGATACAATCTCAAACACTAAACTACTTCAAGTCACAAACCAAGAAACTCTAGACAGTATGATAACCAAGAGAAGATGAAAATGGCTTGGCCACGTTATGAGAATGAATCCTGATATACCCGCCAAAACAGCTGTCACATGGATACCAGAGGGAAAGAGAAAAAAAGGGGCACCCAAAAACAACATGGAGACGAACGATGGAAAGTGACCTGAGTGTAGCATCTTTGACATGGAAAACTGCATTAAAGATTGCACAAGACAGGAAAGCATGGAAAGTCCTTTCTGAAGCCTCATGTGCCACTAGGCATAAGAACTGATTCTGTGCAAAGCTGGGATCCAGAAAACATATTTTTTTTGGGAGTATGGTTGTCTGTGATGTTCGACCTGACACATGGTGATGATTCACTGGTTATGAATGTTTTAGCTCATATCCAATAAACACCAATTACAAATATGAACATATTCCTTTTCACGCTTGAGATTTTAGAAATTGAAGCGATCCTCGTGAATAGAATATTTCAGAACAATATTACATGGTGAATTATAAAGAGATGAATAAATAAATAAATATTATTGATAATATCGATCTCCAACATGCTTTGTCTCTTGTCTTGATTGTACACTCAAACTGCTTTTCGTCCATCTCTTGATTTTATCCTCTCACTTGAAACGATGTCTACTCTTGCTCTCCTTCCCTTTAGTATAGCTTTTAAAAGCATATTGTCTTTAGTGTGGCTAAAATATTCAAATTCTCTCTCTCTATCCCCCCCCCCCCCCCCCATCGTTTTCTTTAAATAAATGTTGGGAAATGAACAAGCAGATAGACTGGCTGGTTGTACACCTCTTGATGGCAAATCGATGCATGACAAGCTTGGTTTTGAAATAAGCCTTTAGGAGCGAGTAAACAGTGAGGAGGAGCAAATAGATCATCGTGGTCTGAAGATAAAAGTGCAACGAGGAGTGACCAGGGCATATGGGTCACACCGAACATTCAGGAGAAGGGTGAGATGGACATACCATCAGACTGGTGCGATCAGAATTGGAACTTCACTTGCTACCCCAGATGACATCACAGGACAGTCCAAAATTTTACAGGGTGATAATACTGGGTTTTTCAGCTTTCTGATGCTTTTAACGACCCCAAAACATCTAGAACTGGCCCTAACGTCAAGCCACCTACGTCCCACTAGAGAGTGCAGCCTAGGTCCTACGACTGCATGCAGTCTAGTTACTACCCCCTGAAATATTAGGTCTATAAAGGCCTAGAAGATAGTAGCACATCACCCTACTGTGCACATCGCAAGAGACTTTACAAGATCGGCAATTGCATTATGTAGGGAATAGCCACACCATACAGTTATTAATCTATCTATCTTACCAGAATAATTAAAATTAGGTGCTGAAGTCGGAGGCGACCGTAAGAATCATGTTGCCATGCACAAACGCGATAGAAAAAATATCTAGATAGAATCTACGGCGAATCAGTCATGTGGACAGACACCTGAGACAACCGATCAAGGCAATAACTTTTGGCTAAGAGAAACATCCGTGCAAGTAAAAATTTACGTGTCGCTGGGTGAATTACAAAAGACAGTTCATACTAGAGACAACCTTGAAGATATAGATAATCTATTTCAAACAAACGAAAGAAGAAGAAGTTATTAATCTACGTTGGGGGTTGTGGCCCAAGCCGATCCCCATTGTCAGCATTGTGACCCTTGAGTCATCTGAGCTGTTGGCCTGGGATAAAGTCTTAGATTCCTGGTGACTGTTGTAGCTAATCCTCAACCACAGTATTAACCGGAACTATGTACGGAACTCTAAATATGGCTGCAACCTGGTCTTCTTCTTCTTCCTTCTTCGCCTTTCAAGGACTGATTGATACGGTGTGTTACAGATTACAGCTAGGCCTCGAAATATGGTCCTTCCTGTAGGAAACCCTTTCCATATGAGGGTCCCAGTGTGGGGGAAAAGTTTGGCAGAGGAGAACCTAGCGTATAATACCATAACATTCAGCATAAGAATGGAGGTGGAGGCGGTCACTGCAGCTTTCCGCTGGCTCGTGAACACGACACACACACACACACACACACATTGTGATTGTAACGGACTCAGAAAGTATGTTGAGGAAGGTGAGGACAGGGATGCTTCGTGCTGAGTGGTATGCTTCGCTTCAGAGATAAGGGGTGAGGATTATGGTCTGCATTGTTTCTATAGAAATGCTGCACAACGAACAGACAGGCAGACTGATTGGCACTGCACAACATGGTTGGATGTCCTAACATGATAAGGCAGACGTGGGAGAACGTGTACAAGTCGGAGGAGCAAATGGAACACCAGTCTGGTGAGAGTGATTGGGGGGGGGGTGGAGGGGTGAATGTGACAAGGGGATCTGGTCGATACTCGACGCTCA